CACCTAAAACTGTAAACTAATGCATTGTAAAAGAGTACAACCATTCTGTATCTTGCTTCAAAGAGGAAGAAAGAGAGAAGCTAACAACAAAAATAGAGCTGTAGGCTTGCTAGAAACCCCATTGCCTAATAGAAGTCAGTAACAGTTTGCTTCCATGCAACACAAAAGAGAAAAGGGGGACTGCACTCCAAAAGGTAAACTTTCTTTGAAATAAAGACTTCCAAGAAACACGGTGCTCCAAACTAAGTAGTTATTAATAGAGGGAGTCCAGCCCACACAGGAATGATCAAAATATTGCCATGGTGTAAGACAAGCATGTCAAACTCGCGGCCCACAATGAATTTTTTTGGGGCCCGGCGAGCCACGAGTTTGCTATGCTTACTAAAGCAGAGTAGGTACCTGCTTGCCCGACATTGCAGGTGCCTACTCTGCCAAATTTACCCGACCGGGGAGGAGAGGTCCCTCGTGGCAGCGAGAAAGCTCAGTCTTCCTGCTTCTCACTGCTCCCTTGTGCGCGCCCTCTGTAGTGATGCCGGGTGCCAGAATATGACGCCATTCCGGCATCACTAAACGAAGACTGAATTCCCGAGAGAAGATCAGGGAGAGGCCCAACACCAGCTCCCAAAGGTAGGGAGCAATAAATAAAATTATGTGTATGCAAGAATGTGTAAATGTGTGTGTCTGTCAGTGTGGGTGTGTGTCTCTATCAGTGTGTTTTGGTCAGTGTTGCGATGGCCGTGGCTGGACAGTGGAGGACCTGGAGGTGCAAGGGGGCACACAACACCACGTCACATTCTGACGTGACGTCAACATGCTCGACCTTCACAGGTTTTCAAGGAGTAGCAGGAGGATCCGTTTGGCACAGGATGCGGACAGCGCCATTGGGGGTTTACCAGAGGCTGGACTCTGGAGTCACATACTGGCAGCGGCAATGTGAGTGGAGCCTGCTTGTTGGCTAATATTGTTTTTTTGTTGTTTATTTATTTATTTATTTTAAACAAGGGCTGGGGTTTAGTAGAGGGGGTTGCTGGGATTTAGTATAGAGAGGGGGACTGGGATTTAGTACAGAGGGGGGACTGGGATTTAGTACAGAGGGTACGACGACTGAGATTTAGTACAGAGGGATGGGGACTGGGATTTAGTACAGAGGGATGAGTTGTTTTTTTATATACTGCACTTTTCAAAACAAACCTACATTTCTATGAAAATTTTATGTTTTGGTTTTTTTTTTGGTGCCCACATAAACTTAAACCTTGTTCTGGGGGTGGACATGCTTGGTGTAAGATGTTTCATTAAAGGGACTCTCCAGTGCCAGGAAAACAATCTGTTTTCCTGGCACTGCAGGTCCCCTCTCCCTCCCACCTCCCATCCCCTGTTGCTGAAGGGGTGAAAACCCCTCAGTGACTTACCTGAGACCCCCACCGATGTCAGCCGGCGGGGGAGACTGATCCCGCCCGCCGGCTGAGGAGACCTAATGCGCATGCGCGGCAGTGCCACGCATGCGCATTAGAGCTCTCCATAGGAAAGAATTGAAAATGCTTTTCAATGCTTTCTTATGGGGAATTGAGCAACGCTGGAGGTCCTCACATAGCGTGAGGACGTCCAGCGACTCTCTAGCACAGAAAACCTGGGCTATGAAGCAGGAAGTGCCCTCTAGTGGCTGTCTAGTAGACAGCCACTAGAAGAGGAGTTAACCCTGCAAGGTAATTATTGCAGTTTATGAAAACTGCAATAATTACGGGGTTAAGGGTAGTGGGAGTTGGCACCCAGACCACTCCAATGGGCAGAAGTGGTCTGGGTGCCTGGAGTATCCCTTTAAGGGTCCACCTAACAAAGAATACCGAGTGCCTGGACTCAGTCTATTATTGCTTCCACATGCAAGATTGCCTAGAGCAATATATCAGTTTTATTCAGTGATGAATAAAAAAATAAAAAATTAAACCACCTGTGCGAATTAGTTGAAACAGTTAGAAGTTTGGATTAATTTGAACAAGAAAATATAATTGATGTGCTATAAGCTTCTATGCTCATTAGTGCATACCTCCCAACAAAATTGGTCCCTTTTTAGTCTAGTGTTCTACTTCTGGAAACAAGTTTGGGAGGTCCATATTGTAATTTTCCCATTTAAGAGAATGAATGTCCAGTGACTGAGTGGCAGATATCAGCCATGTCCTGGATGTGGAAGGAGAATAAGATCTAGGGCAGGGATAGATAACCACATTTGGTTATAGGAAGGTTAGGCAACCTTTTAGGAAATTTAACAGTTGTTTTATTATATTTGTAATGCATATTTAAGATTGTCTGGGTGATTCTCTGGGTGCCTGAGGAGTCCCTGTAAGCTTATGCCCTTCTAATTAACTAATTTGTCAAAAGCACACAAGTAAATGCCAAAACACAAATTACACTATATTCTACCTGGGGAAAAAAACATTCTCCAACAGACATGCCTTCTAGGAAAAGAGCCCTTGTAAGGCGCCTTGACACAGCACAATTAACATAACTGTAATTTTTGTAAGAGGATTCTACATTCCATTGTCTGGAAACATGTACACGTAGAGCAAATAATTGGATGTTACAAAAAATGTTCCAAAGAAGAGAAATGCACATCAAAACTTCAAATATAGAAGAGATCCCCATCCCCTTTTATAGACAATTCAAAATATAATGCAACATCCATTCTTTTTGATGCATTATATAGATAATTTTAAAAACATGCAATATCAATTTACTACATTACTACCCAAATCGAGCATAAACTTAATTATTTTCATGTATTTTGCAGAATGAAATAAAGTAGATAAAGCCTCACTCATTTATACTGTAGTTGTGATTAGCTTGTAGAGGAACACAATTCTCTGCCAAAAGCCTCAAGTTACTGATAAAATGCCTGCAAGTGTGCTGAAAATGTAAGTTTACCTGCTGCTTTCAAACAGTTAAGGAAGTTTTAATGGGCCATAAGGGCTCCCATACATCCTGATTTCAGCAGGTCAGTCACAATTTTTGGGTCCTTTCCCACTGTCCTGACTTAGTTACCTGCTGTCCAGCTTTTGGGGACAAAATTAGGCAAGTTGTATTTTTGAGGATTAATTTTATTATTGAACAACAACCATGTTCTCAATGAACCCAAAAAACTCATTAATATCAAAGCTGAATATTTTTGGAAGTAGTTTTTAGTTTGTTTTTAGTTTTAGCTATGTTAGGGGATATCTGTGTGTGCAGGTGACTATTACTGTGCATAATTATTAGGCAACTTAACAAAAAACAAATATATACCCATTTCAATTATTTATTATTACCAGTGAAACCAATATAACATCTCAACATTCACAAATATACATTTTTGACATTCAAAAACAAAACAAAAACAAATCAGTGACCAATATAGCCACCTTTCTTTGCAAGGACACTCAAAAGCCTGCCATCCATGGATTCTGTCAGTGTTTTGATCTGTTCACCATCAACATTGCGTGCAGCAGCAACCACAGCCTCCCAGACACTGTTCAGAGAGGTGTACTGTTTTCCCTCCTTGTAAATCTCACATTTGATGATGGACCACAGGTTCTCAATGGGGTTCAGATCAGGTGAACAAGGAGGCCATGTCATCAGATTTTCTTCTTTTATACCCTTTCTTGCCAGCCACGCTGTGGAGTACTTGGACGCGTGTGATGGAGCATTGTCCTGCATGAAAATCATGTTTTTCTTGAAGGATGCAGACTTCTTCCTGTACCACTGCTTGAAGAAGGTGTCTTCCAGGAACTGGCAGTAGGACTGGGAGTTGAGCTTGACTCCATCCTCAACCCGAAAAGGCCCCACAAGCTCATCTTTGATGATACCAGCCCAAACCAGTACTCCACCTCCACCTTGCTGGCATCTGAGTCGGACTGGAGCTCTCTGCCCTTTACCAATCCAGCCACGGGCCCATCCATCTGGCCCATCAAGACTCACTCTCATTTCATCAGTCCATAAAACCTTAGAAAAATCAGTCTTGAGATATTTCTTGGCCCAGTCTTGACGTTTCAGCTTGTGTGTCTTGTTCAGTGGTGGTCGTCTTTCAGCCTTTCTTACCTTGGCCATGTCTCTGAGTATTGCACACCTTGTGCTTTTGGGCACTCCAGTGATGTTGCAGCTCTGAAATATGGCCAAACTGGTGGCAAGTGGCATCGTGGCAGCTGCACGCTTGACTTTTCTCAGTTCATGGGCAGTTATTTTGCGCCTTGGTTTTTCCACACGCTTCTTGCGACCCTGTTGACTATTTTGAATGAAACGCTTGATTGTTCGATGATCACGCTTCAGAAGCTTTGCAATTTTAAGAGTGCTGCATCCCTCTGCAAGATATCTCACTATTTTGACTTTTCTGAGCCTGTCAAGTCCTTCTTTTGACCCATTTTGCCAAAGGAAAGGAAGTTGCCTAATAATTATGCACACCTGATATAGGGTGTTGATGTCATTAGACCACACCCCTTCTCATTACAGAGATGCACATCACCTAATATGCTTAATTGGTAGTAGGCTTTCGAGCCTATACAGCTTGGAGTAAGACAACATGCATAAAGAGGATGATGTGGTCAAAATACTCATTTGCCTAATAATTCTGCACTCCCTGTAAATATAACGTGAGTGCATCACACATCACACAATATTCTGGGCACTAGGACCCTGCAAGGAGCACTGAAACAGTGCTCCCAGTAGGCAGTCCTTAAATGATTGGCAGTCAGCCTGGCATGCATTCACGTGAGGCTGAACTGCCAGTTATTTTGGGCAGAGCCAGTGACACAATTGCATTACTGGCCCACCTTGTTTATTCTCCTCCCACTGGTATG